CCCCCCACCCCCCCTTCCCAACACAGCACGGGACAGGTACAGAATGCAGGCCACTGGTAAGTAGTTTGTAGTGCTGGTTTAATGGTTTAATTCAAGAGAATACTATATGACAGACAAAATGCGTAGAACTATGGAAACTGTAATTGGCATTGTTGCAAGAGGGTTGTCATTGTTGTTGCGCTTTATATTCCAGGGTGTTTCGTAATCTCCATCGGTTCTCATGGCCGGTAGATACGTAATGCTTATCATTGTCTGCAGCCGTGACGTCCCGCCAGCCTTCAAGACCAAGGAATCCAGTCGTGATGAAGAGGTTGATGGTGGAATATACTACAAAAGCGCAGTGGCTGGTTTCGTCTCTTTGATGGTTGACGCCTCACGCAAGATGATGTGCTATACTGCTAGTGGCTGCGAAAATGCCGCGCTCATCTGTTTCCTTTCAGAGCCGACCTTGGTGGAAGGGAAAAGGCCCATCAGGTGGGCGTTGAAGTTTCGGAAGGAAACTCTACGACAGGAAAACTTATGTTCGTGCTTGTAACATTTTGGTGCAGTAGATACACCGTGCAACCTGAAGCCATCCATTCAGTATGGCTTCTTCGGTTAGCTGTGGTGCTCTTTGGTGTGCTTGTATACTGGGGTACCTATTCTTTCTGTTTCCTCGGGTTGAGCCTGCTCCCATACAGGCTCCTGTTCTCTATCCACTTCTAGTTTAGTCCAGGAAACCACTAATAGGTTGGGCCCGAATACAAGTAGACAACAGCAGCCGTGAACACAACAGTGGAAGCCCCAGTGCGGTAGGACGATTAGCCGTTTTGTATGGTTACAGCGAAAATACGTGGAAGAAGATTTTGGCCCTAGATAGCGAGGGAAGTGACGAGAGTACCAATAACAAAATCCAATTCACAAAACGCGGTATGGAATAGCTGCACATAAATCAGCGCCTATATAACTCTGCAGGACGAAGAGAAATGCTTTCTGCTTCTCATAGAGATAACCCATACAAAAATGAAGTTTCAAACTGATGGTTGCAAGGTCTGGCTTGTAAGAGGGGCATGTAATGCCGAAAGGGAATATCGGGGAAGCTCGTGCCAATTGACAATTGTGGTGTGCCCTACTGTCTATTGCCTCATGCCAGATGAAAATCATAACTGCCTCACAGAAATCAACAAGTTCCGCACCCAAGATAGTCTCGACCTTGACGATTTCGATGACGAGGAAGAGACGCCAACAGATCCGACAGGCGATCAGGTCGCCAAATACGATGCCGAGGAGCTTGCCAAGGTGGTCACGTGCGACGCTCTCAAGGCTGGAAATGCCCCCATCCTGGTGCGACCTAGGACATCCTATTTCTAGTGTTTGGGCCATTTGCAGTGCCTTAGAATAAACACAAAGCTCTCTCGGAAAAACATAGCAGCTAGTTGCAGCATGCAGTGGGCCGTTTCTCGATTGCATGCTCATCTGGTGAGTGCTCATATATTTTGATCTCAGATTTCCAGCAATAAACGCAGCGTGATGTACTACTCTGGCTCTAGCGCCACGTGCTCGAATGCCGTTACCGAATGGAAGAAAGGCTATGAAAAGTTCAAGTGGGTTTGAATTCGTCTCCCAACTTTTCGAGCAGGTCATTCTCAACAGCCGTATTTCTCCTGTTGCACAAGCAACGGATGGCGTGAAGCTAGTTGAGAGAGTTCCCCAATCTGCGCATGCTCGACCTGAAGAGTTGATCCGGTGTGTGTGATGCAGGTGTTTGTGTGTCTATTCAGAGATGTCACAATTCCCCCAAAATACACTTCAAGCGAAGACATGTACAAGACGGGAGCAGCAACAAACTTTATCTCGCTTGTCAGCGAGGGAGAAGATACCGTAGCCCGGTGCTACACCGTTACGAACTGCAGCGAGGAAGGTTTGGTTTGCGTGTTGGAGCCTGCCGTCTTCGAGGAAGGAAAATTGCCCATCAGGTTAGTATTCACATCCCACTCAGGAGCTATATCTTCACCTTTCAGTTGAAGCCCTTTGTGAAAGTGCCTGCACTGTTGCGTGTTCATCATTTATCTACTATATCTTATATACTCTTCGGCAAAACTACGCTTGTAGCCATGCCAACGGAGCTGTGCATTTTGGATTATGAAATCTCAGAGAGTAGCCAGTGAGGGTCACACGAGCAATTACTGGGTTGGCAAGATCGACAGCTCTGTTTTGTCTGTTTGGGTTCAGCGTGGCAACTTGGAAAAACGTTACTAAGACTCTGAATAATGGACGTAGTAGTACCTCCGTCTATGGTGCTCTTCTGAACAGCATGTTAGTTGTTGTCGGTCTGTTTGCACTCAATTTCTAAATGCCTGCAGTACAGAGTTCGAGTTGAGAACCCACAGACCCACACTGTTTGTGCTGTGGGACGCATTTCTCAATTTTTTTCCAGTAAAGACCAGCAAATGGTGGCAGTGAAGGCAACCGAATACCTAGTGCTGCATAGAGGACCAGCACCCAAAAGGACTTACTGTTGTTGCTGAAGCACGTCAAGGCAAGAGAAACACATTCGAACAGAAAGAGAGAGAGATGCAGCAACGAGAACTGCAGCAGCAGGAACAGATAAAGCTGCTGTTACAGCCACTCCAAATCGAACAAATATACAAGAAGGATGATTAACCCTTTATTCCCTTCAGCTGTTGCTGAGCTGCCAGACGCACGATGGCGTACTCAGCGTGCACGCCTGCGTGTAAGGGAAGGAGAGAGACAGAAGTCGCAAATGATGCGCGTCAAGATGGTACCTTTATTTCTACTTGAACACGTGCTAGCAACATAAGACTAGGGTGTAAGTACACCCTAACCGGGCCTGTGGGACTGCCTTGCAGCAGGCATACTTACTCTTGTGCAGCAGTAAATGTTCCGAGGATGTTCGATGATTAAGAGGTTAAAACTGCCTTCTTCTGGAAACTAGTATTTCGATTGTTTAGGTGTTTCATTGCTTATGATGATCCTGCCTCAAGAATATGGACCCATGCAAAGCGCTCTACTTCTACCCTATCAACGTATGAATCTTAGCTCTTGAAGAGGCAACAAAGCCCCCAGTAAGAAAGGGAAGAGGAGTTGATGAGCCTAGTGCAGTATTGGCTTCTTGGTGCAGCAGTAAATATCTCGAAGTGCAAACAACAGGGTGTACAGACACCGTAAATCTCAGCTATGTATTACGATCATCGAGACAAACCCCGATGCCTGGGATAGGAGCAGGCGCAGAAGTAGGTTTTCTCGGATGCTCAATGATCGCTATTTCTACACTAATGTTTATTTAAATACAAGATAAACTTACAAGGAAAAAGGTCAACGAAGATGAGCATTCAGGGTCCCCACAGGCTGCCTGTGTTGGCTGCATAGGGCCAGCTAGGCTGGCGGCATTCAGTCGAGGCGTTGACATGAACCTATTCATTCCAATGTATTAATTTAATTAAAACTATATACTAAAAAGAAAGAGGTAAACATCAGCCCCATCTGAGGCCGCCAACTTGCTGGGCCAGTAAGCCAATAACTGCAACTGCAGCAACAGCAGCGGATCGGGGCCGCAGTGGTTAACCAGCCGTCGGGTGCAGACAGCAGCAGGTGCTCTCTTCTCCTCTTCTTCTTCCGCACTGCTTTGAAATGAAACTTTATTCTTCTGATTCGCTAAAATATACCCACATAGATATACTGACCCCTAGCTAGTCCATCGCCCCTCACCTGCAGTAACAGCAGGGGTAGCAGCAGAAGCAAGCAGCAGTGACAGAGCAGTGGGTATTCGCCAGACCCTAAGCATTATCTGAGGCAGCATGACAGCTACAACTCAGTGTACGGGCAATGGACTCTGTCTTGTGCAATTGAGTTGTTGTGGTTCCTAGGTAAGAAAGCAAAGTATGATGGTGAAGAGAGTTATATTATCTGACACCTCCGACACACCCGGAGTCGCTTCCAGGGTGGGGCCGTTGGTAGGCGTCCTGGCTAGAGTACCTTACTTTTTATTTTATGTACATTATATTGAAGTCGGAAATTTAACAACAGTAGGTCGTTGGATATGAAGCAATAGCCACACTAGATTTAGTGATGCATTTTTGAACGAATTAGGTCACCGGGCTTCCCCGCGGCAAACCCGGGAGCAGTTTGAGGTTAGAAAGGGAAGCATTCATTAGAAGACAGACCTTCGAACTGAATAGTTCTAATGTAACTGGCGTCCTAATACTATTCAATTGAAAATTTTGGAATTTAGCTCATTTACAGTCTCCTGGTGTCTGAAGGAGCTAACGGAACCGGCGTGCGGGCCCCGAGCTGGCGCCAGGCTGGTGCGTCGGCTGCCTGCACACTTGCGAGCGCAAAATTTCACACATTTTTAGAAAATACAGTATCATTGGGCACATTTAAACGACACAAATGGTTCTCTTCATTCCAGGAATGAAATCTCTCTGCGTTTGCGCCGCGTTTGCGGTTGCAACCGCCATTGCTCACGGGAGCTTTGCTGATGCCACAGCTCAGGACAGAAATTTACTCCACGCTTTTCGCAATACTGCCACTAGTTTGACTCCGATAGGTAGGGTGCAGCACGCTCTGCGGGGGAACGTCAATTAACACCTTTCTAAGAATCCGCACAGCCCCAGAGGCCTCCCGAGTCACGACGTTTCACAAATCCTAGCAAGAAGCATTCAAGTAACAGTATCGCGCAGCAACCTTCAGGTGTTTTGGATGCAATGGCGATGAAACGTCACCTTACTGGAGGCTGTGAATACTGCGGCTACATCGTGCAGACGGCAACAAGCACTGCACCGAAGAAATAAATAAGTGGAGGAAGCAAGTAGATCCTAGTGCTGAGGAGTACCAAGCAAATACCAGTGGAACCCCAGCTGAGGATATTAAAAACTTTCTTCTGAAAGAATGCGATGCTATCAAGGAGGGGAAATTTACACATATTCATGTAAGTCCAGCGGCATACTTAAGGTGCCTCAAAGGCTGGCATGAGGCGAAAGTCTCCAATGCGATAAACACGAATTGTATTTAGTTACAACAACAAAATGAAGAGTGCAAGAAGGAGACCTGGCGTTGCTTTCCTCAGCAAGGTGACAGCGGCATTACTGCATTTGTCTTCTCCGCCACGCGGCAAGTTAACACTGTGCGGGAAGATATGACCTGCTCTGCAGCGCTTGAACAATGGAAAAAGGCTTTTGCAGATTTCGAGTACGTGCACCTAAACAACACCCTCCTCGTACTCTTCCTGGGCATCCAAATAGTGATGGCTCTATCACATCAACTCACGTCAAGCCAAGCAATCTGCTTGTCGTTTTAGGGGCAAATACCCAGCACAGTTTCAAGATGGCCAAGAAGTATACGCTAAACCAAATGCTGTTGGCCTTGTCGCCTTGTTGAGCGAGAAAAAGCAGCAAATTTACTGCGGCCACTCAGCAGGTTGTGACAAGGAGACCCTCATTTGCTACATCAAGCCTCCAGCCATACAAGAGGGGCACTATCCTGTGACGTGAGCGTACAACACCTTACAGGACAGCGCCCTGTGGAGACAACGTCTAATAGGCACGAAGGCAGTTTAGAAATATGTCAGCCGAACAATGGAGAAAACGTACACTGCGACAGGTCATCCGAGCTCGCCAGCTAAAACAGCCCAAAAGCCTTGGTTCTTGATTCTTAAGTTCCGAGAAAACGTCAACCGCTCAAGAGCAAAGCCTTCGGATCACATGAGTCATGTCTGTTAAATTGATGCAGTGCCGAGATGTGGCATAAGGTTGAGGAAAGCTTCAGCCTGAAGCCGAAAGTGACGGTTCTCGGTGGGATGCTATCCCATTGTTGACCCATCGTTTGTAGGACATAGAAACACCCCGAATGGAACAAATTATTCAATTCTAGTGATTCATAAATGTTTAATACTGACTGCTTTGCAGAAGCTGAACTACAAAGTTACTTGGAAGCAATCAATGATGTACGTGAGGTCGACGGGCTGAACCTTCCGAAATTCACTGTTGCATCGGGGAAACAGAGGTTGAGACTTAAAAAAGCAATCTCCCCTTCTACCGCCTACGAGGATGCGCTGTATAATATGACATGCGCTGAGATAGATGCTTCATCAATAGACCCAGTGGTGGGTTTCCACTAGGTCCCTAACTACTCTCATTGGAATGCTAAGACAGTACCAAATCCGGTTTGGGAAATATCCAAAACATAGACAGCCACACACATTACAAGCAGAACAAGAAACCAAGTAAATTTAAATCTGTCTCAGGTGTGTTTCTTTTGAAGCTGCACTACGTACTCACGGGGAAGTGGAGAATGCTGAATGGTGAATTATATGAGCAGGTTGAAGGGGAGTACACTATTATTTACGCTGTCAAAGACGACAAAATTCCCCCAACACCCGAGGAAGCCGTCAACTTCTGGAAAACTGGATATGATAAGCTTGGGTCAGCTCCCAGCACCAGCGTAGCGGGACATTTAAAAGGTGCAGATTATCGGGAACTAACCCTTCGCAACAGTGCAAAAGAGTGTTGAATCATGAAGACGATGAATAAAACTGGGAACTGTAATGGAAACTGTTATTTCACCTATATACGCCAGGGAGATTCGGAATCTTCATCTGCTCTCCTGTCTGCAAGATGGTGATGCCTATCACTGTCTGCAGCCCTGGCGTCCCGCCAGCCTTCTCACTCAAGGGCGACATGCGTGATGAAGCGGTTGATGGGGGAATCTACTACAACAGCGCAGTGGCTGGTTTTGCGTCTCTTATGGTTGATACCGGCCGCACGATAAGGTGCTATAGTGCTACTGGCTGCGGAAAGGCCGCTCTTATCTGTTTCCTTTCAGAGCCGACCTTGGTGGAAGGGAAAAAGCCCATCAGGTGGGTGTTGAAGCTTGGGGGGGAAATTCTGTACGATAGTATTACTTGTGTTCGTTGTTGCAACCGTCTGGTGCTGTAGATATAAGCTGGAGAACTCCGTTCATCATTGCGTCTTGAGGATAGCTGTCGTGCTGCGTGATGTGCTCGCGTGCCGGTGTACCGATTTCTTTTTTCGGTTTCTTCACGATGAAAGGACTTCTATAGAGGCCCATGCGAAAGCCACTTGTACTTTGCTTCCGGAAACAACGAATAGATTGGGTCCGAGTGCAACTAGACAACAGCTGCCGTCCACACAATCAAGCAGGGGCCACGACAACGGAGAGACTGTTTGTATGGTTGCAGTGATGATACATGGGAAAAGATTGTGGCGCTCGCTAACAAGATCCAGGTTGCAAAACGCGGTATGGAACGACTGCACTTAAACAACAACATATATACCTCACTGCAGGAAAGTGGAACATGCCGGCTGCTTCTGGTAGATATTCCGTAAGGAAGTGCCATCTCCACCAGACGTTTGACGCCGACTTGTCAGAAAAGTTATTTCCCACCAGAAGGAGGGGACGCAAGGGCAAGACACTGCTAGGAAGCAACTGTATGTAAGCCACTGTCAATTCTGTCCTGCCAGAGGAAAAGGATAACTGCCTCAAAGAAATCAATGAGTTTCGCACACAAGATAGTCTCGGCCTGAGCGCTTTCGTTGCTAAGACACCGACGTCAACAGATGCGACAGACGAAGAGGTCGCCAAATACGATGCCGAGGAGCTTGCCAAGGTGGTCACGTGCGACGGCCTCAAGGCTGGAAATGCTTCCATCCTGGTGGGCCATAGGACATCCTATTTCTAGTGTTTGGGCCATTTGCAGTGCCTTAGAATAAACACAAAGCTCTCTTGCTGTGCCTTAGAATCCAAACAAAACTGTTGAAGGAACACTAAAGCAGCTAATACCACTATGCGGTGAGTCCTGATGGTTAGGTACCCTGATGGTCAGTGCTCATAAATATATTTTTGATCTCAGATTTCCAGCAATAAACGCAGCGTGATGTACTACTCTGGCTCTAGCTCCACGTGCGCTAACGCCGTTACCGAATGGAAGAAAGGCTATGAAAAGTTCAAGTGGGTTTGAATTCGTCTCTCAACTTTTCGAGCAGGTCATTCCCAACAGCCGCATTCCTCCTGGTACAAAATCAACGGATTGCGTGAAGCCAGTTGAGAGAATTCCCCAGCCTGCCCAAGCTAAGACTAAAGAATCGACCCGTTGTGTGACACAAGTGCTTATGCGTGTATTCAGAGACGTCGCATTTCCTCCAAAATATACTTCAAGCGAAGACATATATAAGACGGGAGCAGCAACGAACTTCATCTCGCTAGTCAGCGAGGGAGAGGAGACAGTAGCCCGGTGCTACACTGTGACGAACTGCAGCGAGGAAGGTTTGGTTTGCGTGTTGGAGCCTGCCGTCTTCGAGGAAGGAAAATTGCCTATCAAGTCAGCATTCTCACTTCCTGCAGGAGCTAGATCTTCACCCTTTACTTAAAGCCAGTGTCTGCACAGTTGTCTGCTTATCATGTGTCTACGATATCTTATATATTCTTCTGCAGAACCACGTTTGTAGACATGCCAACGTAGCTGTGCAATTTTGATCGTGAATTTGGGTTGGCATAATCAACATCTTTGTTGTGTGCTTTTGAGTTCAGGGTCGTCACCTGGAAGAAGGTAACTAAGACCTTGGGTAATGGAGTTAGCGCTCCGTCCGTCCATGGTATTCTTCTAAGCAGCATGTTAGTTGTTGTCGGTCTGTTTGCACTCAACCTCTAAGTGTCTGCAGTACGGACAACCACTCGAGTTAAGCGCCCTTGTGGGGTCAACCCACAGCTGAGGCACGAAGCATATTTGCAGTAATGCAAAGCATGGCTGTATGCATACAGTGCAGCCTTTGTTTTGTATAGCATAGAGGGTAGGGAATGGACGACGAGGGCATCGCGGGAACACCCCAGTGGGGTGGAGACGCCGTGCTTCGTTTAAACGTCATTACGTTTCGTACCGACATACGTATGTCACGTTGGAAACAAAAGGTATCATATCTCCCATCCCTTACCTGCTGCTCCAATATATAGGGGGATCGAGAGCGTACGATTCGCTCGCGAGATGGTAAACTCGATCTGCGGGAACACCACAGTGAGGTGGCGACGCCGTGCTTCGTTTAAACGTCCGCCCTTGTGGGGTCACTCCACCGCCGCGCCCTTGTGGTGTCACTCCACCGCTGCGGCACGAAGCAAATTTGCAGTAATGCAAAGCATGGCTGTATGCATACAGTGCAGCCTTTGTTTTGTATAGCATAGAGGGTAGGGAACGGACGACGAGGGTATCGATCCCTCTACCTCTCGCATGCTAAGCGAGCGCTATACCATTTGAGCTAGACGCCCTTGTGGTGTCACTCCACCGCTGCGGCACGAAGCAAATTTGCAGTAATGCAAAGAATGGCTGTATGAATACAGTGCAGCCTTTGTTTTCCATAGTATAGAGGGTAGGGAGTGGACGACGAGGGTATATATCCCCCTACCTCTCGCATGCTAAGCG